CAAGCCTTTTCCTTCGACTTGCCTTCCAACTGTCCAAAACCCGTAGTTTAAAACAGAAAATGACTAAAGGAGAATAAACCAAGTGAAGAAAAAAAAATATACAAAGAATGGCATTTAAGAGGTATAACGTGTGGATGTTAAAGAAAAGTAGGATTTTCATTTGTGCAACAGTCATTCAGAAAGTATTCAGACTCCTTTTTTTTTTTCTTTTTTTTTTTCCATATTTTGTTATGTTGCAGCCTTATGCTAAAATGCTTTAAATATGCCCCAAACCAAAAAAAAAAAAAAAAAAAATTATATCACAAAGATATACAATAGGTTGTGTTCAGATGCTTTTTTGTGACACCTGAAATTTAGTTTAGGTGCATTCCATTTCTCTGGATCATCTTTTAGATGATTTCATTTTAGCATAAGGCTGTAACATCGCAAAATGTGGCAACAAAATATATAATTAATATATAAAATATATAATTATAACAATACATAATATGTAAGTTATCTGAATTCTTTTTCAATGCTGTGTAACTTTACAAAGAGTAGATGCTCTAGTCATACTTTTTGAAAAGTTCAGCGTTACAATCATTTGTCATACAGTAATAAACTATTCAAAGTGCGGCTAAAGACCAAAAAAGTCTTAAATAAAAGTGCATAATCTTTGATGTCAAAACATTTACGCGGCACTAATGAAACATGGCTGCTTCGGGTGACATGATTTTCAATGTTCAACCATCAGCTGTAGCCGTGGGAGAAAGGTAGTGACGATTATCAGGGCTTTCAGTGGGCTCCTGCAATTTCAACTGAGGAGGAGGGCCCACAGCAACAACCTGTTGCCCCAGATACCCTAGCTACGGCCCTGACTGACGCAGAGTACAAGAGGATCAGGAAGTCGTTTAATCTGCCCTGCAACCTGATAGCCCAGCTTCAGTGGCAGTAATTCACTATAGATCGAATGTAGCCCCGCCCCTTTTCAACACCGATCTTACAGATTTATGGACCACTCGATTTAAAATCTTCCCGGTCTACTGACATTTGTTATGACATCCTCTTCAAACATTACAGTGCTCATGATAACTTTCGTTAACTCTACAAAAAGTAAATCCGCTTCACCAGCTAATTACTCTTTGACAGCAATGCCATAGAAATATTAAGAGCCACTGCAGTTCAAAGACAGCATTCTGAAGATAAGGTCTATGCTTAACTATGGAGAAGTTTATTCAAAAAATAAATAATCTTCTATATGTTATCATCTGATTACAAGAGAATAAATAAAATGATGGAGATATATTTATTTTAATATATTTAGTAATAAAATTACTTTATGACATCTAAGGTTTATAGGATTTGGGTATTCCAGAAAAAAATGGTCAACAAGTGTATGCAGACAATGACAGCAACTCGCAATTACTCATGTAACATTAGTGAACCCCAAAGAAGCATCATAAACTTTGAGTTATAGGTCAATTATTAAATCAGAAAATTGTACCTTCTTTTATCTTCATTTTTTCACAACGGTATTTTGGTGTCACGCTGTCATGCAAATTTCTGTAATTTTACAATCACTTTTCCATAAAAATGTGGGGTGGGTCGGGGGATTTCATACAGTGCATGCACAATCAATATTCTGATCATATATTTTTTACCAAGCACCTTTTACCAAATCAAAACCACATCAATCTTAATAATTACTATTAAGCTGAAGTATATTCATTTATGTGCTACGTCATTGCTGATGGAGGAAGGTATGAAAAAAGTGATTTAAATGACACCGAAAAGTCACAAATTCTGAAATGCCCATTAGAAAGATCCAACACTGTAAAAATGTCAAAATTAAGCGTGACCAGCATACAATAAAATACTCAGCTTGGTCACCAGGGCTGGAAATAAAAAAGACGAATATAAACTTCAGAGCACTTAAATGTGTGTAACAATTACATATCAACTATAAATGATTATATACATGCTTAATAGTAATTATTAAGATCGATGTGGTTTAGATGTTAACAGAATTTTATTTAAGCAGGGATTAAATCAAAAGGATTTTCTGAATCAGAAGTTGCGACTGACTCTACTATCGTATTGTGACATTTCAGAGTGAAAATGAGCAAGAAGAAATGTTAGGCAGGACTTGATTTTATCAATGAGTTAATGATTGGATTGTGAGAAGTGAGTGTTTCCTACTGGAATGGTCACTGAACACAACTGCATTTTAGACGTCAAGTGAGCATATCACAGGAAAAGCAAGCATGCGAGGATGAATCGTTCACAATGACACCAGTACCATGCGTTAAAGGGATAATTCCACCCAAAAAATGTTATCTTTTGTTAGTGTAAAAGATGTAATATGTCTATCTAAAGAAACATTTGGGATGACATGAGGGTGAGTAAATGGTGAGAGAATTTTCATTTTTGAGTGGACTATCCCAACTATTATATATATTTTTAAATATAAACAGACGAATTTAAGAGTAAAACACAAAATAGTCAACAGCCTGCATGAAAATGTATGCAATATTTAATTGCTGCACATGGATTGCTAAAGCAAGACACCTTGGTGCAGGTAATCCTTATTCCCCTGGCCTGAAGAGGCAGTTGTTCAAGGCCTGCTTGCAGCAGGCAGACCAGAACTGGTCACAATTTTTCATGGATCCAAGGAATAGCCTCTTCTAAAAGGTTTGATTTATTATTGTATCAAAATCTCCTCAGAGGTAACGTTAGCCGAACCCCTTAGCTGCAATTTTATGTAAAACAAGCACAGTGATGCTGAAGCACCATGATTTCACTGAAACTGAAGAGTAACAGGCTCACTGTGGATTATGTAGTTATTACACAATATCCTATTAGAGCACATGCATTACAGCTAAATGTAAACTGGGTTCATTAAAATGGTGCTGCTCATTTTAATGAATGCAGGACAGGGTCTTGTCTCCTTAACCATCCATGTACTGCAGCTAAACAATCAGTGTCTGAGAACAATGTGCCTAATGTTACATTTGTCAATTAGTGGTTACCTTTCTGACGTCAATTTAATTTCCTATTCTCTACCATTGGTTAAGCAATGACAAAAGCACAGTGTTACATTTACGAATATGTGGTATGCTACATACGTTTTTCATGGAAGGTCAGTATAGTTCCTTCATGGTACACTGCTGGAGAGATTACTGATCCTACTATGGCGAAGCCTTGGCTCATGATTATTACTTAGCCAATCAGTCAATGGAAGCCACATAATTAATATTAATGAGCAAGTTTCGTCATAGCGGAACGGCTGATGCGCGCACTAAATAAAATGGATCCATCCGTTCTCCCATTCCCTTGGAGGAGAAATTTTAAATCTGTGTCGTCTTACTCTGTAATTATTCCCATTGTTGTTGTCCCAAAATTCACCTCCCCCGACACAGTACTTGATGGCAAACTGCAGTGTTCCTCCAAACTCCAGAAAGGTCGGGGTGATGATTTTGAAGCTAAACTTGTCAGTCTGACCGTCGCTGGAATGGGGGACGTAAGACGCCAGAATATCCATGAATGTCGTCCAGTTATTTATGGTGTACCTCAAATAGACCTTTTTTTCGAAAGCCAAGTTAAGAACCCGCGCGATCCCCGCGAGGCTGCACTCATCAGCCTGAACAGACTCCAGTAAAACCTTCGCTGCAACAACTCTGTCAAGGAAGTCTGGCAGGGATCCTGGATTTGCGAAGAGCAGCTCCATAAACACGGACTGGCTGGATGTGTTGGACTTGTCGAAATTATTCAAGTGGAGAGCTCTGGCTTTTTTGAATTTGTCAATAATGCGGTCTGGAACCTCAGGCATATCCGTGTCATTAAAGTGTTTAATAGAAATCAGGTCCAGGCCCAGAGAGTCAGCGAAACGTACCTTTTTTTGACTGCTTGGGCTCCGGCTTCGTGCGATCTCTAATTTGGCTCTTTCAGCCGATGTGGGGAGAGACTTGCACCTGCGGCGCTGTGTCGGGCTATACGGGGGCTTCAGGAATGACTCCCGTCCTCTCGGTTTTTCATTCACTACGCTGATTTCTAACGATTCACAGTCCCCATTCTTGCTTTCCTCTCCCTCCATCTCTTCTTCTCCGTCCTCCAGCTTTTGCTCTGTTGCTGTCAAGCTTCCGAACAGCCCAGCGATACAACTGTAGTTTCTGGGGATGCAGTTCTTGGGAGGCAGCATTACCACAGCAGCCTCAGCTTCCATAAAAGAGTCTGCAAATCCTTTGAAAATGTTTCAGTCGAGGTCTGATGTTAAGTGTCCTTTCGCATTATAGGCTACGGGAAGCTATGGCTGATGGTACTGCGGATATCTGAACCAATCTTTGCCGAGATGCTGCTGCCGGTTGAAACCTACTAAGGCAAAGCTTTAGGTCATGAATAAATGTCAGGTCAAGCCGACGCTTCTTGTCAACCTTCCTCAATCGCGAGGTCAAGAAACGTAATTAATATTCATAAGCCAAAGTGAGCTGAATTCGTCAGTTAACTATCACTCATACCGACGTCTACCTTTCAGCCAATCAACTGAACCCGAACGGCGCGTTTTAATCATTAATATTCATGAGTCCATCAGTCAATTCTCTGCCAGTTAAACACACCCCCTTATCCACAAGCAGTCCGTGCGCTGGATCACGTCTCACAGTAGACGAAACACTGCAATAACAGCTCAGAATAAACGTACTTTCTTAAAAAAATAAAGAAAACCGTTTTGATAGCCTACCTATTATTAATAATATGTCAGTATGACCTGCCCATCGGTAATCATTCTGCAAAGCTTATGCAACAATTAGCCAAAGGTAAAGTTAGAGGGATGCGAGTGCCTTTATTGCTACATTACATACACGGCATAGGCCCTATACCTGTTACATTTTCACAAAATTAAGAAAATGAAGCATGCGATAAATAACTAAATACATAATCATTCTGTCATATTAAGCGTGTCGTGAATGCCTAAAATGGAAAGATCATAAGTAAATTAACAAAACTACAACACAGTGTATAAGCTATAATTAATTTTAAGGCTGTTACTTTTTTAATACTTTATTTAAAAATATATATATATTGTTTTATTAACAATAAGCTACCCTACATCAAGTGTACAAAAACAACCATTGCATTAATGCCGACATTACGCCTCGTCTTTTTCCACTACGTCATCCTCTCCCACGGTTACCATGACAACCAGGACTCTAAACATCAGTTCACGCAGTTTACTTAACAGAAATGGAATACCAATGTATGCATTTACACTCATTTTTTATTGGCCAACTGTACCACATATAAGATGTTAGTGTTGTCAAAATTAACGTAAGTTGACAGTTGTTTATGTAGCCTATTTAGGATGCTTATTGCATGTTTATTCTTATGATGCATGTATTTACGAATGCGTTTGCTATGTGTCAGTCTTTCAGTAGGCTAGTTCATTAGGCTGTCATACGAAACAGTTTTTTCCTTATCTACAGACGTTAGGGAGCAACTTGAGAGCTATCTTGTGAGACATAAAATTATCTTTACATAAATCTCTTTTGTTGTTGTTGTTGCTGTGTTTCAGGCTGTGACTGAAGCAGTCCGGAATGAATAGCACTGAAGTCTGTGCATCAGACGATACTGATGCTGAGAAACAGCATACGACTATTTACAGCACAAAAAGGAACACAGAGTCTTCGGGCAGACCGTATGTGAATGTGTTGTTGGATCTCAGCGAAGAGGATTGTAGCAGGGAGCACAACATACATTTGCTTCAGAGCCGCACTGGCTGGGAAGACGCTGTGAGTCAAATTAACAGGACCGAACCAGAACTAAAGATTGTAGATGGCAGGAATAATGTCCTTTATCATGCTCGTTATCTAAAAACACATCAGAAAAAGACACAGTTATTCTGACAGTGCTTTCCCCTGATCTAACTGATCTATCTTTTGACATTGCTGTATAATTTTATGTATATCAGTCTTTGTCCCTCTTTGTATCTACAGGTGCATCTCAATAAATTAGAATGTCGTCGAGTTTCACAATTTGAGTTGAGTTACTGAAATAAATGAACTTTTCCACGACATTCTAATTTATTGAGATGCACATGTATATTTTTTCGTTAATTGTATATTAGTTTGGGAATTACATAAATTTACTATTATTATTATTATCATTATTAACCACTGATATATATATATATATATATATATATATAATAAAGAATTTATATCATTATTTATATAGATCAGTGTTACACTGTAAAAAATGGTACAATCAATGTCATGATAACCTGTTTTTACATTAACTCATCAAAATAAGTTAAGCAATTCTCAACTTTTTTAAATAAGTTATACAAGATTCAACTCATGTTTTTAAGTTTAATGTAATTTAAGTTGAAATGACTTATACAGCTAAGTTGATTGTACAACAAAAGATTTGTAACCCATTTGTAATCATTTGCTTGTGTTCCTCATTCATGTTCCAAGGTCCCTCATAACTCTCTCTCAATGTATTAATAGCACAACTCCGGTTTGGTTGCATCAGTGTATATATACTATATATATATTATATATTTTATAATTTAATCTTTTTTTTATGATTATAATTATTTTCATTCATTATTTCGTTTGTATATCCATAATGTCATATATAACACTAACTTCATAACTTAATAAGTTGTAAAGTCCGTAAATGCAACTGTGCTGTCTCTCTGCAGCATTGAACAGTCTGTAAATACATTGTGTGTGTAAAGGCAGTGTAAACTTTGTGGTATGCATATGCATTTCAGATGAAGCTTCTGTAGTGTTCTCACAGTGCAAAGATTGCATTTGTTAATTGAAATGTCAAAACTCACAGGCTGCATTTTTTAACAGGTTGAAGGTTGGGGGAGATTTCCTCCTTTTGGTGCATTTCTTCAACCTCCAAGGAAGGGGAAAAAAATCAAGCAAGACACAATAGACTCTCACTGTCTCCTCTGTGCGGACCTTAATCTTTCTGATCTGCCAATCTATTGCTCTGCTGGAAATGCTCTGAAAACTTTCAGAAAGACTGCCCCAAAACTTCTGGATCTTGCAGAGGAAACGGACAATTCCTCATCAGATGAACTATACTCTTTCAGCTTATCTCTGCAAAATATGTCAGAGCCATTAATCAACAAATTGCTGTCTGGAGATGAACAGTGTAAACAAAACAAATCACCATCAGTCTGCCATTACCATATAGAACCGTGTCAAATTCAGAGGGAAAATAGAGTTGCTCTTAGCATCAGAAGCTTTAGTGTGTTGCCGCCTGTCAAAGAGTCCAGAAACCAGAGGAACTACAGTCTTTTTAAAAGGGTGGAGCCAACAGATTGCCACCCAGCAGAAGTTGTCACCAAGGCCATGACGCCCGATGCCACCGGTGCCGTCACTGATGGTGAAATATTGAGTGTCAGTGGTGACACAGGAAATGTCTTCAAGGCCCTCATAGACTTTATCCCAGAAGAGAATGGCTACAGGTTAAAAAGACCTCCCAGCACAAAGCATTGGCTGTCCCAGGTCAACAATCACCTGCCATCTATTTTTAACATAACTTTTCAAAATAAGTATGATTTACCCTCCAGCCCTGTGTCAAATACATTACCCCAGTCTTCCTACCCCCTGGGAAGAAACCTCAGGCAGGAAGAATTGACAAGGCCTTCCACCAGGAACAACACCAGTTATAGATTGTATTCTGGCCACAAAGCAAAAGATCTGAAACGACCTGAAGCTCATCGACTAATGCTGATTGGAACGAGAGTTCACATGCCTATGTGAATATTATTGATCTTTGAACTCTCTGTACATTGTAGCGCCATACTGTTTGGCGTTAAATAAGTGTTGTGATTCTGTTTGAGACAAGAGCCTCACACTCAGGTGTACTTGAAAATGTGTGCTACATGAAAATGACTATGCAACATAAAGGGATAAAGAGAAATCTATGTATTTTTTTTTCTTTCTGAAACTGCAGGATTCAATTACTCAGAACCATGCTATTTTACTATGCATGTTCAGCGTTCAAACTAGCTAAACAATCACTGTCCAACAATCACTGAAAAATGAACCTGATTAGCCGAATTCAGGTGCAGTTGATCCTTTACAAATATACAACTGAATAGTACTTTATATCATGTGCCATTTGTATATGGCTTTGAATAATAATCAGAGACAAAAATGCAACCTTCCGTGGTTATTGATTTTTTTTTTTCAGACTCACTTCAGTATTATTTTGATTCCATAAAATGTATCACAACTAGGGAATGTTCTACAAAGCTTTGTCCAGCTGAATGTGCCAAAAATAACCCAATTTAGAACAGCCATTTGCAGACATTAATATTTGCTCAGGACAATAACAGAGAATAGAAGAAACTAAAACCCATTATTGTATTAGCGTAATATACAGTAAATAGCAGTAGAATGCTTGATTCATTTAATGGACAAAACATTATTTTCTGCGGTTTATTTTCCAGTTTCATGTGCATCAGCATAGCCTAGAACATAGCCAAACTATACACATGGCCAGCCTCTAAAGAACAAAAATAATCATAATTTTATCATTATTATTATACCGAATTATAAATTATGTCCTATACCAAGTTAAATAAGACACATGTTGAAAAACAAAAAGCAACAAAAGTTATTCTTGCCACAAAAATATGCATGCACTCTTTACTGAGAAAAACTTGAGCTTAGCTGGACACTTTCAAGTTTACTATCACAAGTTTTCACTATGACATCATCATCGCCTACACAAAGTTAACGTATACATTTGCAGTATTTATTCCAAGATCTAAATATCATTTCAATGAATGTAGTGGCTGAATACTAGAGTTCCTAGTGTTTGGCATAAAAATACTAAAGCTCTTTTGCAGTTAGGTTAAGCAGCAGCCAATGTGACATCATAAAGGGAACAGACACTGCGTCACTTACATTCTACTTGTGGAAATTCCACTATATACATTAAGTACAGGAGTACAAATAAACAGAACTTTTCATAAAAAAAAAATAATTAGTAGCATATCCCATTTATACGCACACACAATGCTGAATGAAAAAAAGCTATGGTTGCCTTTTATATTTAGTGTACTAAGGCCAAAGAGTAGTGAATTTTGACACACAAAGATGAAACATTCATAAGAACCAAAAACAAATAAATATATACACAAAAACTACAATAAAGAAAATAAAAACACAAACGACAGCATTTCTACATCTCCTCCATTAAGCAGCACTGTGATTTCATTATCTCAATCAAAAGCATATGAACACTTGAATTAAGGCATCAACAAAAAGTTTATACAGTATGTGTAAACTGTTAATTGAAATCATAAGGAGGGATGAACATATTCCATCAAAATTGATACTTGCTTTCAAATAAATATTAAAGGTTTTGTTTAACAGTAAACATTTGTGATTTGCATATTTAAATCTACTCACAGTACAGAATGCAAATCACAGTAAACAAGAGCAAATCCCCAGCTCCACTTTTGAAGGAAATGTGATGTCTGAAACATGCAAATTCAACTGATTTAGGATGTAACGATTAAATTATCATGCCATAAGTCGGCAAGAAATTTTTGCATGAATTCTGTCATGAATCAAGACCTAAATATACTCACAGTGGCTATTAGATGGGTCTAGAGCATTGCACTATTAAATGTAACATAAGTTTGTTTATACCACAAAGCAAACAAACAACTCAAGGTCAAAAAACAGCATGTACAAAGACAATAAGACTCAAGACATCTAAACAATATCAGACTATAAAGTATACCTACAAGACAATACATTTTATTTGTGGAATGAATGTTCATCATATCTGTCTGATTTTTGAGTTACATCAGTACCAGCTTATTACACATACCCACGAGAGGCTCTGACCTGACCTACTGTAACAAATAAAATACTTTTAGGATTTACAATATATGTTAATAGTGAGATGATAAAGTGCTGCAAAGGTATATTTATACATCCTTAGACTTGGGCATATATGCAATACCTTATTGTGGACATTTATCTAAAAATAAAATTCTACAATTACTGTTTTGAAGTTCTGCCACCCTTGCTGAGGGAGATACTAGGAATGACGACTCCATTATCTGACCTAAATCAACCAAATCACCTTTGATGGAGCCTTCAGCTCTTGGCTTTCCCATTGTGTCGAAATAGTGAGATGAGCTCCTCACACGTTTGAGTTTCCACCGAGCTAAAGTGAGACTCCATGTTCCAGGCCAAGTCTGCTGAAAGGAAGTCGTCCACTGCTGTTTGGGTCTCATTGCTAGTGTGGAAGAGGTGTCCAAGGCTCTGAAAGGAACTGGAGATGGTCTGGGTTTCAGCACTGCTGAGCCTCACCTGCCCATCATGGGAGCTAGGCAGAGAAAGTGGAGCAGGCCTGATGTCGGTCTGTGTTTCTGTGTCTGAGGACTCTGTGCTCATGCTGAAACTAGACTGTCTGAGGATACTGCCAAGGGGCATGTGCCCACCTGTGTCTAGCAGGAAGTTGAGGTCAGTCTGGGTCTGTGTGTCAAACATCTCAAGCTCCAGCTCACTCGGTTGCACCCTTGTTCCAACGTCACTGTCGTGCCCATTATCATAGTTGTCGAAGAGCAGGAAGTCAGTCTGTGTCTCAATGTCTAGGAGTTCCAAAGTTGTCTCTGTGTTCAGACTGTTCAAAGCACTTTCTTCTGTCTGAGTCTGAATGTGTGTCGCATTAAGAAACTCTTCAAAGTCAAAGTCAATACCAGTGTGATGCGGTTCATGCGTAGCAATTAAACCTGAAGTACAGTCCGAAGCCGCCCCAGTCATGCTGTCAGAAAGTATATTCTCAAGGTCACGGAAGAGTATCATGGTCTGAGTCTGGTTGTCTGCTACTGTGTTTTGATGCAAAATGTCAGTCTGGGCCCCAAAACACATGGATGCAGCAGTCTTGTCCTCAAAAAGCCCAGCTCCAGTGCTGGTCAGAGGATCTTCTAAACAACTGGTTCTGAAATGTGCATCAGCCGCTGCAGTCTGAGTGGAGACACTGAGAGTATCAGTATCGAAAAGATTTGTGCACATTGCTTGGTCCATTTGGCTTTCAACCACTGGGGCTGTAGAACAGCTTGTTTGTGTTTCTCGGGTCACATTAAAGGAAGAGAAACTGAAAACATCCGTCTGTGCTCCAATGGAAAACATGGCTTTGATTTGTGAGGGTAGCGTCTGGGTTTGCACATTAACAGGCAGCTGAATCTGAGCACTTACACTGATGTCTGTCTGAGAACAAGAGGACACTGAGGCCTCACAGCAGTGGGAAGCAGTCAATGGTCCAGCATCCATTCCTTTGTTAAGGTATGTTAAGTCAGTTTGAATGTTTGTTGAAGTGCTTTTGTTTCTGGATCCAAGATCCACTGGATCTCCCACAGAGGCTTGATTCTCAAGATTGACCTGTACTCCTGTGCTAATTGTTTCTGGGCCTGATGTATGTACAGGAAAGGCCTCTTTGAAAGTCTTATTGCTCACATCAGGCACCACTGTGCCGACTGACGGTGACAAAATATGCACAGTGCTTATCGACCCTTGTGCATCCACAGACAAGACCAATGACCTCAAGGCACTACTTTCCGCAGAGGGGAGGAGAATGGGCAGGTGGGTGAACTGCATAATAGGAAAGTTGACTAGGGCCACTTTGGGCTTCGGGAGAAGGAGTTTCTGGGTGTTTCTAGGGTGGTTAATGTTGTGTTGTGCTGTGTCTGAGGCTCCAGAGACTAGTATGGTAGGGACTACTCCTTCACTGAGCTTTTTCTTACAGTCTGGAATTTCATTTATTAGTTCATCAGGCATAACATTTGTTGCACTGCTTGACAATCTTTCCATTTTTCTCTTCTTCACTGGTGGATACCTATAAGACAAACACTGCACTTTAATAAGGTATGCAGTATGATTAACAACCTTACACTGGGATATAAGTTAACAATGAAAGACGCAATGGCTGTCCTGACCCACATATTATCCTAGGTCAGACATGCTATCTTTTTGAACGTATTTGAATATTAATATTATGATTTATGCAAGCCAAGGTTGAAATCACACCATGCTCTTTTTTGTGTGTTTTTCTACTACCACAAAACCAGTTTTAACTCTTAGCCAGATGAAATGAGTACCTGTGCTCTTTGGGAACCTCATGGCCTGTTCTGTAGATATGAGACAGCAGTGCTGCTCTACTGGCATAAGGACAACCACATGTACAGCTGTATGTCCTCCCACAATCCTCAGCATGTCTCCGCAGGTCCCACTCAGTGCTGTAGCCATTACTGCACTTCAAGCACTTGTGCTTCTTTTCTGCATGCATCTTCATAAAGTGCTACACCATTAGTAAGATTAGGAAACATGTTAGTCAGCAGCTGTTTTCCTAGCAGGACATAAATTATATATCAAGTTCTAAAAAAGAATAAAAAATTTAGTGCCAGTTTACCAAAGGTACAGTAAAATAACATCACAGAAAACTACAAAAAAAAAAAAACCCAGAAAATGGCAAGTACCTGTTTAACAAGCGAAAACTGAGAAAAGGGTCTGTTTGATCCTCTTGGGCAGCCTTCTATTGGGCAAGAGTAGAGCTTTTGTGATTCCTTGATGTCCTTTCTAATTGTGGGGTTGACCAGACCCTCCTGAAATCAAAAGAAATATAGTAAGAAACCACTTTAAATGAAGCAACAATAATATTGCTTCTTTTGTAAGTAGCAAGAAAACGTCTTCGTTCTGAAGCTTGTATAGAATCACAGCAATTTGCTGGCTGATGGTGCTAGACCACCCATCGAAGTATTGCATCACTACTTAAAAGGACATGCTTGCACCATCACAACTCACAAGATTTTCCTATCAAGTTGACTGTACCGAAAAACTGAGAAGAATAGCAAGCCAAGCAGTATCTTATTCACTATTCATG